TTCACCACTTTCTGCTTCTCGCCCTGTGCACCTCTTGTTCCCTCGATGGGGGTGTCCCCTTAAACATTCCTCTTAGCCAGGAGCCCTGGGTCCCCTCCCCTAGCTCCACAGTTGCCCTCCACATTTTTCCCCTCACGTACCTCTCAGGACCCGAGGACACACCTCACAGTCAGGAAGGAGAGCCGGGAGACTGCTGGTGTCTACAGATGGCACGGGCAGGCTTCCAGAGGTCGACGTCACCCTGAGCGCCTCAGGACAGCCTGGCCCAGGATGGTCCCTCTCTAGAGCCCCCCCTGAATGAGCCTGTTTGCATTTTTTCCAGTTGCATACTTTGGGCCTTCACCATGCAGAACGTGTGGGCAAAACCAGGAGGTGTTTCTGTACAAGCATCAGAACTCGCTAGAGCTCCCATCAGTCACCTGATGGAACACGTCAGGGACCAGATGACTTGGGCAGCCAAGCCCTTTTCTACCTACCACTTATCTCCCTTCTCTTCCCTCATCCTCTGCTTCCCAGATTTTAAAAAGGATGTCGGGAGGTCCCCAGTGTTAAAGATTAAGTCCTTGTGCAAAGCAATAAGCCATGTTGTTGCAATTCCGTCTTCTCCCGCTAGGTGGGAGTGTTTCCACAGCTTGCTCTCCTTTGGTTTGCTATGTGCAGGGAGAGGCCCCCAAAGGGGAAACGAATTTTATTCTCCAACTATTTAAGCAGAGAAGTGTGTGCACACACACAATTAGCTACTCTAAAATTGAAATTATCCTTATGGCAGTTTTACTTTATTGTATTGCTTTAAATCAGGTGTATACCGTGGGTATATTTTTAGACAACCTTTTTTAAGTTAATAGGCTATGTTTTAGAGCAGATTTAGATGTACAGAAAATTTGAATAGAAAACACAGTGATTTTTCCAAATACCCCCATTTCCCCCCTCCCCTCCACCATTTCCCCTGATCTTAACATTTTTGCGTTCATGGATTATATTTGTTATAATCCACAAACCAATATTGATATACTATTAT